TACTTCATATGGATTTTTCTTTTTTTTTTTTTTTTTTTTTTTATTACTTTCTGTTATTTGTTTTAGTTCTCATTTGTCATGGAAAACTACCCTTGGAACAAAAATTTTCAGGGAGCTTACTAGGACTTGGGACTTCTAGAAATACTGGAACTGCAAAGGCAAACTTTAATTTAGGAAGGTACATCATCTTTATGTCAGAGTAACATAAGCAGGGATCTCAAGCCTCATCTAGATTTAGGTGAATGTTTCTTAATGACAATTAAAAGCCCTGTAAGGAAAATATCAGCATGACTGTTGATAGTCGTGTTGTCAGACTGTCTTCTAGTCCAGCATATGAAGATATTTTTTTCTGTTACAAAACTTTTCCTGCTGGTCTCCAACCCTAGTTATGGCTGATGCTTGGAATCCCAGCTGTCTGTATTGCAGTGCCATGGTGTTAGTCATAGCTGTCGACAACTCTCACCAATACCCCTTTTCCTTACCTGTGCTGCCATCTTACCGCACTCTGCATAATCTGCTGGCGTTGTGTACCATATCACCCTCAAACCCAGATTTCTTTGACAGCTATGCAGATTCCTGAAAGTAATAGGTTCTGTACAGAATCCACATGTGTGAGCCCAGTTAGGCATTGCACTACCGTGGAGCACGTCAACATGAAAAAATAGCATAGGACATATCTAAATTTACAGCATTTGTCACCAACAAACTGTAATAGCTCCTTTCTGCTGAGAAGAGCATACTGTGCAAATAATGTTGTTCTGTTTAAAAAAAAAAAAAAAAAAGCTGAGTTTATCTCTTGGAAGAGTGACTTTAAACTTAACTCATCCTGAGGGGGAAGTATCTTTAAGGACTGATAAAAAGAGGGAACTCCAAATTACTGTGGTCACTTACTAGCATAGCATGAAAGAAGAGGATATTGAATTTGTATACAGTGCCTTAGTCTTCGATTACCATATCTTCTCCCATTGTTTGGAGACATGATGTTGTGCTATCCTTTCTTAAGTCTATACTGCAGTATAGATAATAAGGAAAAAAGTATTTCTTGCTAACAAACAACTTAAGGTTAACAAATTGAGAGCAAAACTGAACTGTGAACTGAAATGCTGCTGCTTGGCCACACGATGGTGCAAAATGCCCGCCTATGAAGCGAAATAGTGACTGTTCACCAACAATACAGTTCAATCAATCCTGAAAGAGTAAAACGTGCTGTAAAGGCACTTTCAGGTTCTAAAAATTCTTTTACTGACAGTAGGTAGTCTTTAAAGGAACGTGGTTTTGATGTAATCAGTGATACTGTCAAGACAACAGGAGGAAACTTTACAAGTTTTCATGTGTGATTTTTCCAATTGATAATTTCTTTTTAGAAAGAAAAGTTAAAGTAGGTGTACGTAATTTCAGATCCAGTGTTTGAACCATAAAGGTCACTCTGAGCTTACTGTCAAAGGGCAGATTGTAATTCCTCAATAAAATTTGGTGGCAGAGCTCAGGATGATACCAGAGATGTGAAATTTCTTGCCTGGATACTATTTGTGCAAGACCAGACTTTCCCAAGCGACATGCTTTGCTGCCCAGTGCAGGGATGACTACTCAGTTCAAGTGTGTGTGTGAGGTAGGATGGGGTAAGGGCAGCCTAAGCAGTTTTGCTCTTAGTGATGAGCAGCATGTATCACAACCTTATTTCGTCAAGATTTGAGTGATTAAGTATTAACAGATTGTTAGGAGTTGTTTAAAAAAAAACCCCAAAACTGGATCCTTCCAGATCTGTTGATGAGTAGCTGGTCCCAGATCCACTGTTCTCCCCAGTTGCTGGCCATTGGACATACAAGCCCGCAAGGTTTGTATCCCCACTACCGTTGCTGCTCAGACCTCCTTGTGTACACAGGCATCTCTGATAGCTGGTGCAGACCCATGATCGTCCCCAGCAGCTGACACTCACACTGTTCATCTCTTGGGTATCTAGCAGAGATAGATCAGGTCCCTCAGTTTGCTTACTTGCAGACCCTGGTCTCTTTCAGGAATTTGGCCTCTGATCTTACCGTCTGTCTGGTACCTGACTCCCAAACCTCTCACCCTGGTTGCTGGCTAGACTAGCCTGAGGTTTGATGGTGAGTTACAAGCATCTGCTTACACACTGATGCATGACATTGAAGTTCCCCGAGGAAGGATGCGTATTTTTCATTCTGTCTAGTTTCTGGCAGCACAGTCCCACAGGCCCCTATGACATCTGGTCCCCTCTGCAGTTGCTGGCATGTGCACACACACACACACACATATATATACAGAGAACAGTGTCCTCTCATTTGGAAAAATAGTTAGTATAGCAATAGAGTTCAATAACAAGGTAGGACAGACTGTAGTGATCAGGTCCAGGGCTTGGCCAGCAAGTGTACTGACCAGCACCCTGTTCTTGCTCTGTTGGCCCTTTATCCTCTTTTTTCCCCTATGCTTGTTCTTTCTCAATTTGCCTTGGTCAATGCCTTTTCCCACCTTTGTTTTTTTGTCTGAACACCCCTTGTTGCCTTACACGTTCCTACACTCCCCTTAATAACATCCACCAGTACATTTTATACCATTGTGAAATGCTCTTCCCCAGAATCCTATACAGTCCACCTTGCTCCTCTAGACAGTAACACCTTTCAGCCTATAAGGTGATTTCTCTAGATGACTGCTCTTACTAGGTTTCATTCCTAGAAAATGGGCTGGTTGCTCTCTTTTCACAACTGTAGGAGGAACTCAGGCAGGGTGATCCCACTGCACTGGTGAAGTTACTACGGTTCCCCTGCTTGCCATTTTCCTCTGCTCCTCACTGGGCCTTTGTGCTCATGGTGACTCACCATTAAATGCATAACCTAATGCGCAGGACAATACAACAGAGAACTGAGTGCGATAAGCCTTGGCAAGTGACAGGAGAGCAAAACCTGCAATTTCTGGGAAGGTGTGGTGTAACAGCATCACGGACAGATTTAGCTGGTTGTGCTGGCGTCTGGCCTAACCCCGCTGAGTAATGGAGGTGGGTGGGAAATGTTGGTACCCAGGGGTCTGGCACTGTCTCAAAGCAGTCACAGTAGTGGTAATTGGGGTGGGTTTCAGTTCACTCTAACTGTATGGGGCTGTGTGAGTGCAAAACTTTTCTCCACAGCCTATCCTCTGCTCAATCCACTTAACAAATTGAACACAGTAATGCCCTGTTGTCTGATGTTCCTTTTTCCTCACGGCAACCAGAAGATTGAGACTCTGGTTAACTTGTCTAAACTATCACATACAGCGGACCTAATTTTATTTGTTGAGTTCCTGGGCTTATTTTACACCTAACAGGTGAGGGCTGTAATCCATCTTGCAACACCTCTGGCCTTTGTAGTACAAGACTGATGACTGGAACAGAAAATAAATGACCAAACTCTCTTTGTTTGTGTTTAAATACTTTTCTGAAGGGGTTAGCTGTATATACAGAACTTCCTGCTCAGCGTAGCTATTTGAACATCTAGTTTGTATCCATTCCTTCTTTCACCCCTGCCTAGGAATGTAAAGTCCAGCAGAAATTAAAAGGTTAGGAAAATACTTCTTGAGTTGACCAAGTAGGAAAGCAAACTGAGAGGATAAATACAAGTGAGTTCTGAGAAAAATGCATCATAGTAAATAGTCTATTCCTAGTTTATTATAATGACATTGGACAGTACATTTCTTCTGGGGTTTCCTTATTTAAGGTGCAAAACATTTAAAAGTCTGGTTTTTTTTTTCAGGTGCTGTGTGCATATGAAAACAGTTACATATTGTCCTTAATCAATTATTGCGTGCTACCAAACACATTTATGTTGCAATGGGTGCAAAAAATGGGAGAAACAGGAGAGTATTGATTTGTAACCTTCGCTACTATAGAAAAGGAAATAACAATCAAAATAACTCTGTCTGTCATACCAATATGGCTAGAAGTATTATGGTGTTCTCCCTCCTGACATAGCCATTGGACACCTGAAAAAAAATACATCTTTGAGAGCATGGGGAAGATAGATCTGTATTCAATTTCAGGAAAAACCTTCAGGCCATTACTGAAAAGCAAGTTGTTAAAGTCATTGTATTTACATCTGTGATACCAGAATACTGCTATCCTTTTTATAGTGCTGTTTAGCTCCTACAGGCAGGATAGTTACATTGATTCCATATTAATGTGTATGAAACTAATGCCACACTGACATTCAGAGTAGGAAATTGGCAATTCAACTGTCAAAATGCTTGCTAAACATGGCAATTGAACTTTTCCTGTGATTCTGGGTCCTTCTGTGAGTGCTGTCCTTCCTTCTTCCTATATATTTCACAGTGTTTTCACAGTTTGTATAACTAGTATGTGAAAAATGTGTGAAGGACATAAACATTTCACAAAAGTATCTCTTCCTTGTATAAAAGAGTTGAAACTTTACAGGTCAGAGGTAGAAATCTTTAAATAGAAGAAATAGAGAAATGCAGATACAGAATACAGTTTAACAGCTGAGTTGCATTTCCTTTTAAAAAGTGACCCTTTGTGAAACTATGAGATTGTCATGTAGTAGGAGAGGTGAATGGTGGTGGGGTGATGGTTAACTTCATGAAAATGTCTTCTTAATTTCCAAAGAAAACAGTAACAAGTATTTCAATGCAACTGAAACTATAGTGTTTTCAAGTCATTTAACTGTGTGACAATTTATTCTGAGTTTTAGAGAAAAAGCTCCTAATATAAAGGAGGGGCTACAAGTGAGGACTGTTATTCTGAAAGGCTAGGGTGTAGTGAAATAATTACTTTATCCTTGTGTATCACTAGTCAAAGCAAAAAAAAAAACCTACCACCCCCACAAAAAACTTATGTGCTTAGATTAGCATTCTGTGCATTCCTTTTGCCTTTATTCATACTGTAGCTGGCCTATTGGCCTACCACAACATAATTTCTTTAGTTAAAGTAAATGTTTCTTAGAAAAGTTCTCCTAAATTGTAAAAGATGTAGATTAAAATGTCTTCTTATTTGTTTCCAGACAGGATAACAGTATAGACTCTACTTCTTCTCTGAGAGAAGACAACAAGCTGGAAGGTCAGGAATCAAAACAAGGTATGTAGTGGAGAAAGCTGAAATTGTGTTTTCTTGATGTTGGGCAGTGATTAATTCCAGATAACTTACAGCTCTCTTTTGAACAGCAGCTTCAATCACAGAGAAGCATCCTCTTAGAAATCAGCTGGTGTAGGGTTACAACCTCTCTCTCAGGCCCAGTTCCAGAAAAGGAGAGGGGAACATTGAAGAAGACATCGTAGGAACTTTGACTTCTTAATTCTCTGAGATTGGAGAGGTTTTTTTTGTGGCTAAAAGCTAATTGCAGCTCTTCAAAGTTTGCTGGTTTAGCTTCTGGAACATGACTGAAGCTCTTGCAAGGCTCATTTGGCTCTTCCTGTCTAGTTTTTCAGCTGAAAAGGAACTTTGAATCATTTCAATTTCTTGGTATATGGGTGCTTGCTAATACTGCTATTACTGTTTGCTGAATTCTTCATGATTCAGTTTTAATTTCTGTTGAGATGATCATAAGAGTCTACAGTAGTCTGTTTTGACATCAATAAAAACCCATTATAATAATTGTTTGCCAAAGGACTGCTTGTAATTTAATAATTTTGATCAGTCTTGATATACGAAATCTTGCTTTGTTTGATTGTGCAGAGCTGAGGTCCAAGGGGATGGTGCTTAACACCCACCACTCCTGATAACTGGCATATTTTATGTGAAGTGAGTGCCAGTAGAAGTACACACTCAAATCTTTGAATCTCTGAGGATGGATGTTTTGTCTTGTTTATTTTATCTTTTTAAATGCAAAAATGTAGTGGATGAGACATTGTGGTACTACAGTGATTAGCAGAATAGAAAATGCAAAGGCAGGTAAGTTAGTGGTACACATTTGAGTACCTGCTGCATAAAGAAACGATTTTCTTAACCTGCAGCAATATTTGTTTTATTTCAATCATTAAATGAGCACCAAATAACAACTGCCAGTATTTTTTTGTGCATGAAGCACTAGAAATGTAGATGTTTCTGACTCTGGACTAGACTTCATTTGGACTAGCTGTATGCAGTAACATCAGAAATAGCTTTTCCAATCAAAGAATGTTGCAAATTCTTATAAGCTATATTTCTCTCCTATGAAAATCTAACATTATTTGCTTCCTGCAACTCCTATTTCACAATTCAGAATGTTGTCTGAAAGAAGTCTCTTGAAAAATGTATTTTTCTTGAAAGATGTATTTTTCTGAAGTAATTAGTGAGAAGGAAAGTCATATAAAACCATCAAAACTTTTAGGAGCAGGTTGGTATGGCTTTGTGAGGAACACTTTAGATGTTGCTTGTTTTACTATGTGGAGTGACCTTAGAACCAACAGATTTCCTGCAGATCTCTTCCACTTTTGTATTATCAAAGGGAATTGATGACTGTTGCAGGTGATTGCTTCATTGTTGTTTTTTATGACTTAATCAACCAGAGTATCATGATGGCTTTGGGCTATAGCAGTGGCTTCACTCAAGATGTTAGCTTTAAAGAGCTTTTGAGAATATCAATATAAATTTAAAAATATAACTCTAATCATTCTGCTGAGCTGCAGCCTGCAAATGCTATGGGGGAAAAAAAGAGACAATAAGAGGATAAGCAAAAGTGGATAAAATAGAATTAAGTGTGCTAAAATGAATTTCACAACTGTAGCTGAAGGAAAAAGTAAAAGTAATCAAACTGAAAAAGATAATGAGAAATGCCAACCATGATCTTTATTACTGGATAAAATTACAACTGCAAAAGAGGGAAATAAAGCCCATCAGCTACTTAAACGTCTATAGGCCAGTGAGCTTGTATGAATACTTTATTATACAGTTTTGGATGCTCCAAATTCTGAATGGAACCCAAGGCAACTTTACCCAGCTTCCTGGTTCATACTAATGCTGGGACAGATGTGAATGTCTGTTAGTATTTTGTTTCTGCTTAACAAGAGACGAATACCAAGGGGAATCCTGTGGTGGGTTGACCCCAGCCAGCAGTAGGCACCCACCAGCCACTTGGTTACTCCTCCTGCATTGAGGTGGGGGAGAGGATCAGAACAGCAAAAGTGAGAAAAACTTAGGGGTCAGGATAAAAATAGTTTAATAAGCGAAGCAAAGGTTGTGCACTGAAACGAAGCAAAATAAGGGATTTATTCACTACTTACCATTGGCAGCCAGATTTTTAGCTATTTGCTGGAAAGCAGAGCCTCAACATGCATAACAGTTACTTGGGAAGACAAATGCCGTAACCATGAACATCCCCCCTTCCTCTTTCTTTTCTTGAACTTCTATTGCTGAGCACAACGTCTCATGGTAGCGAATATTCCTTTGGTAAGTTGGGCTCAGCATCCTTGGCTGTGTGTCTCTCCCTACTCTTGCCCACCCCCAGCCTCTTGCTATGGGGTCCGAGTGAGAAACAGAGAAAGCCCTGAGGCTGTGCAAGCACTGCTTAACAGTAGCGGAACCACTGGTGTGTTACCAACACTGTTTCAGAAACAAATCCAAAACACAGCACCGGGCAGGCTGCTGTGAAGAAAATTAACTCCATCCCAGCCAGACCTAGTACAAAGTCACTTTTTTTTTGGGAGTAAATTAGGATGAGTATGCTCAGAAGTTAACTTCAAGCCATTAATTATGATCCATTATTTTTTTGATCCATGGAAATGCTGCTTGGGTTAGGTAAATACTGACTGATGGCATGCAGCAAGACAGAAGAATTTGCATTTCTTAATCCTGTTCATTCCCATTTCTTTTGATCTTTCATATGCTTTGTGTCTTGCAAGGTAAAGTTGACAAGATAGTATTCAAAGTTGATTTGATAGTATGAGACATAGGTAAAACCACACTGAAACTGAAATACTAATCTTGAAGTTATTGTTACAATACGAACAAGGCAAAACTGCTTGGGAATGAAGACGACCCTGGTGTGTTCATCTCTTATGGGTACTTTTTATACATACTGCTGTGAGGAGGATTTTGTATACCTTCAGAATCATTTATGTTTCAGGCTTTCACTTTTTATGGCTTGAAAATTGTTAGTTATCTCAAAAAAACCAAAGACCAGAAGTTCTCGGTAAACTTCATCTGTATGGCTTATCTTATATTTTCCAGAGGTGAATTTGCTTTCTTGTCAGCTTGGATTAGAAAGTTGGAGGTGCCACATATGTTAGCTGTATATGTTCCCATATGTGCTGTATTTACCAGTAAACCAGTGTTATGAGGTACTGAATTGATAACTATGTAAGATACTAAATCAGGAGTGCATTCTCAGTCAGGGTAACTTGCAGTATTCCTAAATCGAGACTTAAATGCTGTGACAAATCATAGCCTGTGATCAGGAGTGAATATCTGAGTATCTTTTTTTTAAATGTATATAGTAAAAAAATCTTTAATCCTGAATCAATAAAACCTTTGGAGTTATGTTTTAAAATGTTACTATTGTTAATAAAACCAGTCTGAGATTTTTTTTTACCAGGTAGTCTGATGAAGAAAAAAATAATTTTCTTCTTCTCTTCCTCTCTTCCTCTCTTTTGTCTTTGTTTTTTTGTTTTCTAAGCAGAGAAAAGGCATTTATAGCTTTTTAAGTAGTCATTATTGATTTTTTCCACACCCTCAGGATAGCATGAATGTTTTAAAACCCCAGAAAAATAGGTCTTTCCTGAGGTTTTTCTGTGTTATTCAGAAATTAAAACCAAATGCATGCATGTACCTAAAGGTGTTTTAAAACGTTTTATAAAAAGGGTGATATTTTTATAAAGGTATTAGTCATAGGTCTTTGCTGTGTTAGACTGCATTATCAATGTTGGTGTTTTGTTTGTTTGTTTTGTTTTGTGTTATAGTTTGAATGTCACTAAGATTCTCATTGCCTGATATAAAACCAGAGCAATTCACAGAGGGAGTACTTGCTTGGGTTTCCAGCATATTGGTTGGTTTGTTGTTGATGAGCAATCCTTGCAAATCAGTACTTCTAGCCCTGTGGATCTGAGGTTCAGGAACCAAATGGATGGAGGGATGGATTGGTGAAAGAGAATCTTTTAAAGCCATATGTCAGTATACTAATTTTAAGAATCAGAGAGTCACAGAATGGTTTAGGTTAGAAGGGCTGTTTGGAGCTCATCAAACCCAATCCGCCTGCTCAAGCAGGTCAGCTAGCACAGGTTGCTCAGCACCACATGCTGTCAAGTTTTGAATATGTGCAAGGATGCAGACGCCACAACCTCTCTGGGAAGCCTGCTCCAGTGTTTTACCACCCTCACAATAAAAAAGTTTTTACATGTGTTCAGATGGAATTTCATGTGTTTTAATTTTTGCCCATTGCTGATAGTCCTGTCAGTGTGCAGTAGTGAGAAGAGTTTGGCTCCCTTGTCTTCATGCTCTCCCATATTTTTAAAGGAGAATTAAAGAAAATTTAAAAAAATAAGTTTGCAATACTGTCTGAATATATATTAAATGAAGAATATTTTTGATCTATAGAGGATCACTATAAAGTAGCTTACATAGGAATGTAAACTTCCTTTGAATCTTCATGGTAAGAAATTGTATGTATTTCAAAACCACAGATCTTTAGTTCTAAAACCTCGTTATTAACAGGGAACACCGCCATAACTCTGGATAAAGAGCAATAATAAAGCCTTTAGAATTGGTAACTTTGCCATTATCTGACTATAAATTGTTCATTTTAAGCAGGAACCTTAAGTTTCCACAGATACAAAGGTTGGTGAAGGACTAAGAATTTCTGAAGCTAGTGTGTAGTCTCTCTGTAGCCAAATTGTGAGAACAGTTACTCAGGTTCTGTTAGAGTTTTGCTTTTATTTTATTGCACTGCCTCTTCTAATTAGTTTTTTAAAATAAATTCCAACTTTGAGCCAGCATTAAAAGCCAATGCCATAACTTTCCCCAGGTTTTTACAGAGTTAAATACATCTGAATTTTTAGTACTGGACCTGACTATTGTGCCCGACTCCTTTTAAAATACATAAAGTAGTTCTAAAGTGTAATTTTTAAAATAACATTTTGAAAACTAGGTTTACTTTAAAGATAATAAACAATAATCAATTTTGCACTGCAGAGGCTTCCTTGTGATATAAAACCTTGTGATATTTTAACTAGGAAAATAGATCATGTAACTCCATAGGAGGGAATTTTCTTGGTACTGCTGCTTTGCTATACTGCATGTTCTTCTAAATTGGCATAAAAATGTATTAACACTTGTCTAAATTAGATCAGTCTTAAAAGTTTGAGGAGAAAAAGAAGAGGAATTAGTTGTCTTAAATTCATAGATCTTTTCCCCACTCTCTTAATCTGCAGAGAAACACTGTAAGCAGAAGTGATTTTCTAAGTTAAAAGAAAAATGGTTCTGTCAAGTGACTATGTGATTGTTAAATTTGTGTTACAGGCAAGGGAGAAGATAGTGATGTCCTCAGCATAAATGCAGATGCATATGATAGTGAAATAGAAGGCCCGTGCAATGAAGAAGATGGCCCAGATGTGCAAGAAAACACTGTCAGAAGTGGAGCTGGTCAGATAGATGACCTTCAGAAGGACATTGAGAAAAGCGTGAATGAGATACTGGGGTTGGCAGAGTCCAGCCCAAAGGAGCCCAAATCAGCAACTTTAGCCATTCCTCCATCAGAAGATGTTCAGCCATCAGCACAGCAGCTGGAGCTTCTGGAGCTTGAGATGAGGGCCAGAGCTATTAAGGCTCTGATGAAAGCTGGTGATGCAAAAAATCAGCACTGAGATTGTTTAGATTTGAATTTCAGTATTTGTTTTGAAGGATGCAATGTCTGTTCTCTTCAGCGCTAAAGTATATTTGGATTGGGTATGGCATTCCTCATTCAAACACGACTGTGTATCCTGACCTGTGGCTTAAGCTGTTGATGGTTGGTTTCATTGCCTTTAGTCTGCTCTTCCATGACATGCACAGAGTGGTTTGATGCTTCGCTGAGATCAAGTCTCTTTGTGCTGGGTTATCTCCTCAAGGAGTCATACAATGTGTAGAGCTATGCCAGGAACCTGGTGCCTTCCAGAAGGGTTAGGAGAATCAAATTCTTTATAACCACGTAGTTAGAAATTAACAGCTATTTTATTTATTATTAACTTGTTAAACTACTTGAGAAACTTGATTTATATGTACTTCATTAAAAATACCATTTTGAAGAGGTCTTTTGTTGTGTGACTGCCTTCAGCATTCTGTGATGGGATTTGAGATTGCTTATTTCTCCTTCGGGCCCAGCTCATCATAATGTAGCTAGTCTAGTTAAAATGAATGATGATTCACTTAAAAGCATACTTAGTTTTTAGGAAGTTGAATTCCTAAGGGAGGGCTTTTTTCCTTTCAAATAAACAGTTGAACCATGTTATTTTCAGAGTTATGGAAGTGCCTGAAAGTGACAAATGCCAGAGTTTTTATACTGTTGGTCATTTAATTTTGTCACTTTCCCTGTTGTTTATCTTCTGTGTCATAACTGAAATAAAGAAAATAGAGTTTTTTCTTGACTATGAAGCTGTTTTGTTGAATATTTGGCATAATATTTAGGGCAATGCAGCAAATCAGGCTATTTAGAAGAGATTGAGTTTTTAACATTTCACTGATACTGTCATTTAATATCCCCTGTAAATAGGAAAATCCACCTAATTTCAGTATAAATGTTTTTTTTTTAGAAAAGGCACTTAATTTATTTATATCTAAGATTTTAAAAATCATAATTCTACTTTTATCCATTTCAAGGGTATTTCTTTGTAAGTAAATTGTATTATAGGATTAATTTTCTTGCTATGATTTCTTACAAATATTAGAATAATTCTGATTTTGTTTAGAATTAGTGCTGGTTTTATACTTGGCTGCTAATTAAATGCATATTAAAATATTTCTGTGTGTATTTGCTTACACACACAAAAATTATTTTTTTTTTTAAATATGAAGTTTATGAATGTTGTCCTTGTTAAGTAAAATGATGTTCTGATTTTCCCTTGGTTGTTACTTAGAAACCAAATTAGATACTTTGCAACAGTAGCATAGATAATTTCCAGATGCTATGTTGTAATATTACTGTAGACCTTGTGCCATTCAAATACTGTTTCTTGAATTCTCTTGCAAGGTTTATAATTTTCTTTTTTCTCCTTCCTTTCTTTTCCTTTCCTTTTTTTCCCTTTATTCTCTTTTTTCCTTTTTTTCCCTCCACCTTTTTTTCCCCTTTCCTCTTAACCCCTTTTCTACCCTTTTCCCTTTCTTTGCTGGTAGTCAAGTGCATTGTCTTTAGTAGCAAGCTTCTTATGCATTTCTTAAACTATGATTGATTTCCTTTAGAATCAACAGTATTACGAGTAAAATGGTAGCAAAATAGTGCAGTGTAAATTTGATTATAAACTAAAACTTTCATTAAATACAGCTGAGAAAATTAAAATGTGTATTCACTAAATGATGGCAGTGACCTGAGTAAATTTCGTCTGGCTGTAATCAGGTGAACTCACCTGATTGTTATCTGCAGCAACAACTTTTTTCTATTATTTATTAGTAAATGGAGGATGTAAGTTAGAATATATATCCAACGCAAAAGGTGACTTCACTGTCTCGGAGTATGTATGTTGTCTTCAGTTCATTTCACTTGGCTGTTTTATGAACTTATGATTTATTTGAATACAGAGAAGCAAAAGCACATAATGAGAGAAAGACAGCTGGCAAAACCTAGATGTACTGTCGTGTTCTTTGTAAAGTCGTAGGCTAGTGGAACTATGTTAGACGGTAAAAATAAGTTTTACTGCTGCTATAGTTAGATCTTTAAGGCACTAAATACTTCACTTTGCCTGCTGAGGAAATGAAAAATCTGACACTGGGTTCCTAGTCCTACTGTGCAATCCTGTATATCTCAAGCAATAGGAAAACTTGTTCCTGATTGTTTGCCTCTTGTCTTTCATGTGAAGGTTCATTTGCCAGTTCTGCACTCTGCCATAGTATCAATGAGGCTTGCAAAATCCCAAGCAATATGAATAGACAAAAATCAGTCCTTAATATTGAAGAAAAATGTGCAATACAGTAGTAATTGATTGATAGGACAAATGTTTCTAGACCTATATCTTTCCTTTTTTATTAGTACTCCCAACACCCGTGCTTTTATCACCCACGGAGGTGATTCCTTGCTGACTGCATACTCCTGTGTGGCTCCCGTGTACTTCTGCGAACCACTGAACAGCAAAAGGTTATGCCATGCAGAAGCCATGCCTTGGTAAGGCATAACTTAAGGTGTCTTAGGAAAGCTGAATGTAAATCAGGTTTAATTAGAAATATGTTTCCTACTGTCATGGTTTAGTCCCAGCCAGCCATTAAGCACCACACAGCCGCTCGCTTACTCCCCTCCACCATGTGGAGGAGAATCAGAAAAAAGGGGAAACTCATGGCTTGAGATAAAGATAGTTTAATAGGACAGAAAAGGATGGTGATGATAATAGTAGTAGTAATAATAATAATATAACAACAACAACAACAAAAGAACATACAAAACAAGTGATGCAGAATACAATTGCTCATCACCTGTTGACTGATGCCCAGCTAGTTCCTGAGCCACGGTGCCCACGCCCCCCAGCCAGCTGCCCCAGTTTATACACTGAACGTGACATCATATGTTATGGAATATCCCTTTGCCCAGTTGAGGTCAGCTGTCCTGGCTGTGTCCCCTCCCAGCTTCTTGTGCCCCTCCTCACTAGCAAAGCATGGGAAGCTGAAAAGTCTTTGACTTGGTGCAAACATGCCCAGCAACAACCAAAACATCCGTGTGTTACCAACATTATTCTCATCCTAAATCCAAACCACAGCACTATACCCACTGCTAGGAAGAAAATTGTCTCAGCTGAAAGCAAGACACCTATGCCACCAGAAGAACAGATGCAGTCAAATGTACGAAGTCCATTCAGTGATGTCGCAGAATGATACATTTGCAGTTGTTTGGCAGCAAGGAATTACTGCTAGAAGTGATGATGAACTAGAACATAGTTCTCTTCTACTCTCTACTTGCTGGAGGTATATGACATTTATTTTGGAACTGAGCTTCATTTTCCTATTGGTTTTCCAGGTCACCTTTAAAAGTTCATTTTGTAGTGTGTTGCACTGTCATAGGTTATTATTTCCAGGTCTGTATCAAAAAGTTGCATATGCTAACTTTAATATGTAGTATGACAAAGATGAAACAGGTTTACTATGCATATGACTGAGAAGATTTGTAATTACAGCCCAATTAAATTTGAAATTAGGAGAAGGATTCCGAGAAAATTAAATCAGGCTGTTTACAAAAATAAAACAAAATGTACATATATCATAGGAGAGACTTCATGTGATTGATTACACAAATGCTAATTAATTTTTAGGATATTGTACTATTGCTGCTTAAAAACATATCAGCTAAATTATATGAGTTCCTGCATTGATTCATATCACTGCACAGTTAAAAAAAATCCAGTATATTTAAAGTATTTACTATACAACTGTGTTGTTTTTCACTTTAAAATATATTTTTGATTTTTTCCTTGAAAAATAAATTTAATATTTCACTTGGAGGAAGAGGCAATTGGTATGTAAAATACACTCATGAATTATTTATGAAACCTTAAAATAATTTTATTGGGTTTTGATCAACTACTTTGTTGGGAAAAAATATTATACACTGGGCATTGGTCAGCATGAGGAAAAAGATCCTGATTATATTCTGGACTGCAACAGAAATATTTCTAATGAATTTTGGCTGTCCTTATAGATTAAGCACAGTGCTTTTTTGAGGAGGAGGGCTGATTGTGTTTGTATTAGGTAAATAAAAATGCGTGACTCCCCAGAAAGTATCTATTATTTCTGTTTAGAGCCTTTGATATTATTTTTATGATGGTTTCATAGAGAATAAAAATTAGACATCAAGATGCCACTTTTGAGAGACAAATCACAGGCTCTTCCTCAGAAAAGAATTAGTTCTGTTTGTAACACTTTTCATTACAGTGTTTGCTCTCAGAAAAATATTTCGCCTAAGAGACTTAGTGCCTTGTGTAACTTTTTTTTTTTTTAAACTATGTCATAAAATATGTTCTCTGCTGTTTAAAATTATTGTAATTATTAATCTCAGTGAATGGAAGTTTTGATCACCGCCTTCAAGTTGCTTCTAAGTAGATACAAAGGTAGCACGCAGGGAATCAAACCATCTGCGCAGCTGATTTAAGATGCTGCTGTTCTAACCGGATGCTGTTGAAATGCCACGTTAAACATGAGCAGTATGGCACTGCATAGTGAGTCTCGCCAAGCGAGGCAGCTGGATAGCATTGTCTGTATTTGAGGGAGCACAGTTTCACAAACAGCAGCCACTGCAGGGGAACCAGCTGATTCCTTACACGGTCAGAACTTTAAAGATCGTAAATGGTTGCTTGGTTATTACTATTATTTTTTAAATATTAGTCTACAAAAGCACTTAGCTAAAGTTACTTCGTTTTTCATCTGTGGATAAAGCATGTCAAGGGTTTTCTAAAAAGCAGCAACTGAAAAAAGGTTTTGTGCACATGAATGCATAGTAAGTTGTTATATGGCATTTTACATGTCCATCTTAAAATTATAAGCACTGATTTAGCTTTATGAGATCACTGACATTGGTAAATGTGCCCTTTTCACAGAACGTAATTGAAGATTAATTGTGGAATAGGTCCTTTAGTCAGGAAGGAAGATGAGGTGGTTAATTGATGCAGAAACGTAAAGAAGAACAGCGTAATTTTAGGAGCATAGACACCAAATTAAAAACTGATT